TGCTTGCAGTAATTATGAGCCACCTTATTCTAAATGTGAGACTGACCCGAAAGACATTTTTTATTCATTTTTTTCTAATGGGAAAACTGAAATATTGGCAAAGCATGTCCACAAAACTGCATATCTTAATTTTATTCCTGTAAAATTAGTACTTTCCTATTGTTGCTAAAAAAGAAAATAATCATATTATTTAAGAAGCAGAAAAACTGTTGTACTGACTTTTCTCAGCAGCACTGCATCTTTGTTGGGTTGTATTCATAATGCACATGGGTAAAATTACATCTAAAAATGTTTGTTTCTTTAATAATTAAGAGCTCCTTTTCTCCCTTGCTCATTTTTTCTCAACCCGTATTAGCTTTATGTTCGTGGTATCAGTCTGAAGATGCCATTGCAAATACTCCCTCATTCGCAGCGGTGCTGGAGCCGATGGGAACGCTGCCCAGGCCTGGGTGCTGGGATTTTGGGTCCTTTCATCCCTTTGCCACCCATGCATCACAGACTTGCTCCGCAATAGGATAAACCTTCACGGTCTGCTCCGCAGGGCAGGGCCGGCTCCCGGAGGGTTGGATGTGCAGAGCGCAGCGCTGCGGGCGCGGGCTGGCTTCGGCAGGGCTTTGCTGTGGGAAAGTGGCCAAAGCAGCCTCAGAGCTTCGTCCTGGCCAGCGCTTCCCTCTTTTGATACCATTCAGCTTTGTCGAGTCCTCTGGGCCAAACCTAATAATTATTTTCCTCGGCCTTGTGGGGGATCTGCAGCCGGCACGATTGCAAGTAACGTTTAAATATTTAGTTTCTCCTTTTCAGAACGTTATCTGAGCCTGATGTAGGGGCTTGTACTTCATCGATTCATGTATCTTTTAGAGAGAAATGGACGGATGAAATGTGAAGGTCACATTGCAGCAGGGACCACTCGTGCCTGCTCCAGTCTGTTCTTCCCCAGCCGTCAGTAGGTGGAGGAGCCCGGGAAGCTGCCTGTGCCATCTGTGGCATGGCCAGAGGCAGCGGGTGATGCCAGCCCTAATCCTGGCTGCAGCATTTGCTCCTGGTTCTGCTCAGAGACCGAGCAGCCCCTGGGTAGCTCAGCGCTGGGACCAGAGATGTCTTAAAGCCATCTTTGTGCGCTGCTGCTTCTCCCCTTCTCTGCACCATGCAGAACTCAGCTGAGATACAGTGTCAAATTCAGTGAATGACCAGCTGAGTGAATAAAAGTGTGAACTGCATCCCCTCACTTAGAAATCTGTCAGCTCCCTCTAGCCTTTTGGAAAATTGGAAGACCAAAGTGACTGTACTTGCAGAACATCATAACAATAAAATACCACTGTGAAGCGGGAAGCAGTAGCAGCACTGGGAATCCAGACATGCAGACACTGTGCCCATACCCACAGAGGAAAAAAGATTATATTTTTATTTCTAATCTTTAAAAATCCCAATGACTTCACAAGACCAGGGCACCTAACCTCTTTGGTTCAAGCCACAAGGTCTCTAGGACAGTCGTCATAAATCCCAATTTGTAAGGTTGCAGATTTTCCCCTTGTAGTATGCAAGGCATGAAAGACCAAACAGCAGGTGAAGTTTTCAGCATGGACTGGAAGACAGATTCTCTCATTAAGACATACATTCTTTCAGTAATTCTTTCTTTTTGTAGCACTAGACGCAATCTTTCTAGACCGTTTTTGCAGGTGCAGATTTTCTCCAGCCTAGGGATGGCCATGTGGATACTTCCGTGCACATAGCCCAGGGTGCCGCAGATCATTTTCTTACCCCTCTGTGAAATAAGCCTCGTGGTTGGTTTTCAATCTTCAGTAGCTGATTTGGGCAGAGAGCCATTCACCTGAGCAAGGGCAGCACGAGCCGCCTGTGGCTGTTGCACAGGAGGAATGACGGTGGTTTCCTACTGATGGCATCACCCCGGATGGGAACACCTGGAACATTGACCATCGAGTTGTAATTCTTCCTTCACGTTACGGCAGAGACTTGGGCAAAATGATGGAAAACCTTCACCAGGTGATGCATGTTGCCAGGAGCTTAGGTCACCTTCCCCAGGGAATTGCAGTCTCACTGCATGCAATATTGGATTTGAGGGGGTGGAGGATTGTGATTTATAGTCAGCTTAATTCCTTCAGCAGGACAGTCCTGGTAGCTCACTGGTGAAAGCCTACAGCAATACCCCTTAGCAGTCTTTGAGCTGAAGCTGCAGTAGGTGCACTTGAGCCCTGAAATCAGCTCTGCTCCTACTCTGCCTTTTCAATGTTAAATATTTTTTAATGTTTTAGGGTAGTGATGAATTCTTACTGTCTGTTTATAACGTGCCTGAAACAACAAGAACTGCTATAAATTGGCTGGCTTTAATAAACCCCATTCAAAACACCCAGTGATACAGACTAGGTTGCTAATGCTGTATCTTGTGGGCTTTTTTCAAAGTTTTCCTATACTTTTCACTGGAGCTGTTTTTACTATAAATCCTTTCCTTTGGCCTGTGAGTTCTATTTACCCTTCCTCTCCCCATACTGTACACTGATAACTTCAGTCCTACAGACCTTCTCTTCAGGAAATTCTATTTTAGATTTTCTTTTCGCAAAAGTGAGTAGCCCTTCAGAAATCCTTTATCAGGTCTGTTCTTCCCTGTTATGGTTTGCCTCTGCTTTTTTGCCTTTTTTTTTTTTTTTTTTTTTCTCCCATGGATAGCTGTAATTTAAAGCTTACTAGATCGATAAGTCCAAGATGTACAGCATAAATGGGAGAAGCAGACAAACAACTGGTAAAGATAGGAGACAGATGATTAAAAAGAATTCAGCTATAAAGCATTTGAGTTACTATTCTCTGCTGTGATTTTTGATTTAGATTAAAAAATAGGGGGAAGGAGACATACAAATCATAATTCCCTTCTCCCTCAGAATCTCTGATTAAAATAATGTTGAATTTCCTCTTTTTTCATGTCTCTAAATAAAAAGTGGATTTTTTATTTGGAGTAGATGTTTTAATCAATTATAAGTGAATTGGCTTAATCTAGAGATAGCTGGGGGATATGTAATGGCAGGAAGTCTGGACCTGATGTAATAGCAGCATCTCTGGTCTTGAACTCTCTAAATCCAGTCCTGTATAAGCTGAAATTCTGAGAATAGCTTCTGTTTTACACTGACTCACAGTATAGGGCTTTTCTACTTGGCTTTGCAAGCCCTGGTGATCGTGTGTGGGACTGGGTTTGGGTTTGCTGTGCTTTCTAGCAGAGGCATGTCTTGCAATCTTTGGACCAAGCTGACACAGCTTTGTTGGGTTGTACCCAGCTGGCACAAGATGTAGATCAGGCAATTTGCATTTGGTGTTACAAATTGCAGTTACGTTACTCTGTGAAGGTAAAGACGGTATAAAAGGTTGAGCGTGTTGCCATCAGGAAAGTAAACATTGCTAAGCTAAAGCCTCAATAGAAGTCAAGAAGGGTTAAGGTGCAGCTGAGAGTAGAACTGAGGTTCCTAAATCACTGCAGAGCTTTAGAAAATATTTTCTGTTCACATCAAAACCCATAATTTATTGACAAAGAGGTTGAACTTTAAAATATATGTGCTAGTGAATTGTGTTTCAGTGAAATTGCATATTTCTTTTGATGGGGAGGTTCGTATGAATGTTCTGTGTGTGCTCATAACCACAGAAATTATGTGAAAGATTAAAAATGTGTATGGCAGTAAGTATGTACATCTTACACATGTACGTTGAGGTATGTTGAATTTGGTTATTTATACACCAAATAGCAGAGAGACATTACAATATGAATTTGAAACACTGTGGGAAAGAAGGCGCATGTGCATGTGTGCATTTTGGAAGAAGGATTGGGTCTGTCCATGGGGAAATAAGTCTGTCTGCAACTGGTGAAATGAGACCAGATAAAGAGATTATCAAGTAGTGACAAGAAAGAAAATAGGTTAGCTGAATTTCTCTTTATCACTTCTTTTCCCTTAAGACATCTCACTGAATATCTTGTCATTCATACGGAGAATATGGAAAGAAAATCACTTTTAAAGGTGACCCACAAAGAAGAAAAGGAAAAAAAAAAAACCAACCTGCCTGTGTGCTTTTTTTTACTCCATGGTGGCATAGGAATATGGCCTGGCATTTACACTGTGTCTGCATGCTCTCTTTTGGGAGATCAAGAAAAGTGGTCTTAAATCTCCAGTGTGTTCCTGTTGCCTGTGCTGCTCCTGGCCGGCAGCTGAGCACCCTGTGCGTGCGGGGCAGGATGCTGAGCGTGGGCTGAGTGCAATGGCAGAGGTGTGTCGTGTCCACGTATGTGAGAGGTTGAGAAAGAAAGGCAGCTCTTGGTCAACGTGTTTAAAGTGGTGGGAATGTTACTGGGGGAAAACAAAACAAAACAAACAAACAAAAAACCAACCAACCAACCAAACAAAAAAAAAAAAAAACAAAACAAGAGATCTGTTTTCTCTGGAATACACTTTTCTTTCATGTGTCTTTTTTGTTTTAAATTAAAGTAACTATTGAAAATCATTTTGAAACCGTGTTTCACATTAGTATACTATAGGACAACAGTAATGTAAGTGGTGATTGATAAGGTTAATTATTTCTGGTATTGTGTTAAATAGTGATTCCAAAGAAAGCTGAATCTTATGTTTGTTACTATATAAACACTTAACAGGCTTTAGGAACCTTGTAATCTAAGTAGGCAAGAAAGGCAAAGAAAGAGAGGGGAAATAGAGGTGCAGAGAAATGACTCGTGCCAAGGTCACAAACCAGATTGAGAATAAGAATCAGATCTTATTTCAGCCCATTTTTCTATTCCATGGGGTATGTTGCTTCTGTTACTCAAATATGGAAAAACCTGTCTTTTTCTAGTTAAATGGAGGGCAGAGAGAATGAAATCAGACAAACTCAGTGATACACAGAAAAAATAATAAAAGAAAACAAAGGAATTGTACTGATAAAGATGCTATTTTTAGATAAATTCAACATATGACGTACCATTACTCAAATCACAAATTTGTCTTTCTCTCTAGATGCGGTAAAGCGGGGAGGACGATTCAGATGTAAAACTGCAAATTGACTATGCATTGAGGAAGAAACTGCTGCATGTACTGGTTAGAAATGCCTTTCTTAAAAAATAAATTATTTGTGTTTTGGATGTAAATTTTAATTATCTTTATTTCTGAATCATAACAGTTAAAGTAATCGAAACCATTTTAGACCCATTTGATACCATTTTTGTCTTTAATATGCTTTTTATAAAAGCATGAACATCCATGTGTATATTTATTTGTGCATGTATGTATGTTCTGGAATAATTCCATGTGATTTTAATTACTTGGAGTATGCAGACATGCTTTCAAAGTCTGAAAGCTGTCTTATGTCAGATGGAACTTGTTTGTCTTTTCTTTTTAGAAGTCAAGCAAACAGTCATTTGTTATTATTTGTGTAGCTGAGCCCTAAGCTAGGCTTTATCCTGTTGTAGCATCTCGTTGTCAAGGAGCTTGGGATTTTAGACTTAAAAAAACCCCTCAACTCAGTTTAGTCCTTCAACCTGTAGGAAAAGGTGCTGTAATTATTCTATTCTGATTATTTCAAAGCAAGTCTCATTCTGCTTTCCATCAGGTGGTGATGGTGACCATCAGGGCAGTGAGTTACCCCAAGCACTGGTGGGGGGGCTGGATCCAAAGTGGTGGATGGACCTTGCCTTTCCTTAGAGTACCCCTGGGGCATGTTGAAGAGAAATAGCAGAAGAGCAGGGCCTTGGTGGTGGCATTGCCAACAACTGTTCATCAGTGAAAAAAGCTCTTGGAGCCATGGAGTTATTTATGTCTTGGGCTTCTCTAGGATAACTTGTTACCAGGGAATTTAAGCGCCTGTGGACCCTTCCTGTAGTGAGATGTGTTTGGAGGAAATAATCACACTGGCAGGGGATTTCTATCCTTTTTTTTTTTTTTAATCCTATTCATAAAAAAAACCCTCTTAGAATTTTGTGTTCTGTTGCTCGTTTGTGGCTGATAAAAAGCGAGTCTGTGCTACCAATATGTGGAGTTTAAATATGCATTCCTATTAACATTTATTAATAGGAGCTCTAAGGCTAAAGCTCTGTGTATAATGGGAATTATTTACACCATAACTTTCTTTTGAGATACTGTTTATTGGGATTTTCTGTATTCTGCTCACTGGCCTTGACTACTGCACAGAGCAGGGCTGAGAACATTGTTCTTGTGTATCTGCTGCTGAATTTAATTTTGCTTGTTGATGTTGTCTGTAAAATTCACAGTGACAAAGTTATTGATAAAATGTAGTCTGTCTGACTATTGCTTTAACTTTTTTTTTAGTAAAATGTTTTTATTCTTTTCTTATACCCACAGCTAGTGATTGTTTCAAGTAGAAAATAATTTACTAATTTCTGATAAACCCTGACTAATCAAGCAGTGGGATTCAGATGCTGTGTGAATCTAGATGTCCATAAAACCTGGTTATATTTTGATTCATCTCTTTGTAGGAGCAGCTCTGAACTGAAAAGATCACTTTCTTCTCAGTTTGTAAGTTAGCTTATAAACTTCCCTCTTTTCAAGACCAGCCATCTGGAAAGGTCACCATCTGAAAGCTGGCTATTTTTTAGGTATGCATGAGCAAAGAGAATAAAGATTTACTCTGCTTTTCTTGTGGGACAATATGTCTTGTTTCTTCTTACACACCCCCTAAAAAACACATAAACTTTTTTTTTCTTTTCCCCCAAAAAAATCTTCTCCTGTATTCTTTGTCAGAGTATCCCATGGGCTGAGCTGTTCCATTTCAAGGGAGAAATACTGGAAATGTAGGTATAACATTCCAAGGGTAGACTCTAGCACATTTCTATACAGAATCACAGATTTATTTCAGTTGGAGAAGACCTTTAAGATCATCAGGTCCAACTGTAAACCTAACACTGCTGAGTCCATCACTAAACCATGTCCCTAAGTGCCACGTCTATGTGTCTTTTAAATACCCTGACCTTCTCCCTTAGCAGGAAAGGTCGCAAAGTGATGCAGCCTTTATAACCAGCTGGATGCTTGGCACTCAGTGCGTCAGCGATGTGTCTGTTTGGGAAATGTGCTATTTTCTCCCCTTTGGCTCACAACTTCAAGTACACCCACTTTTCTAGTTAATATGCTGTTTCCTTTCTGAATGAACCAGTTTCTCAGTGTGGGGATCAGCCTCGTGACCTCTTTGCCCTGCGTGACCAGAGAATGAACCCAAAGCTATTCAGATGGGGCTTCAGACTTAAGTTAAAATGTCCTCCAATGTCTCCCCCACAAATAACTTAATTTCCACAGGATCTTTTAATTTAAATGTTTTTCTCCTCTCTGTCAGATAGAGGAATTTTAATTAAGATTTCAATGCGTTTAACTGTGTGATAAAGTTCTTATATTTAGAGTTTGTGAGTCTATTACCTTTAAAAAGATATTTGGCAATGTGAAAGTTAGCGCTCATTTGTTTTCATTTAAAATTCAGGGCATGATATGTGAAGTTGTATTTATAAGGAGGTTTCACTGTCTTGTCATTTTCTACTTGCTTAAAAGCCAAATAACTGGTTAAGGAAGCTCCCATCCTGAGGAGAAGAAAGGGCTCATTAAAAACATTAGCTGATACAGAACAAATTGAGCTTCAGTGCCCTGCATAAAGATTATAATAACTGTAATAATAAATGAATTAATAATGCATTAAAGGAGAATTCCTCCAGTCAGATTGTCACACACTTATCCTTGAAAATTGACTTCATTGAGGTGTGTCACATGAGCTAATGACCTTAACCGATGGATTCGGGATTTTTCCACACTCCAGAATCCACTTAAATCCGTATTTCTGTACTTTTGACAGTTAGTCTTCTGGACAGACGTGAAGTAAGTAGGACCATTTAGTGTTGCAAGCCAAGGGGTGGCCCTTTGCTGAAACCAAGCCATCTCTAGTTTTAACCTCAGGTGATCGGGGTTGGTGAGATCCTAATCGCTTGCAGGGGAAGCTCAGGTTAGGGGTCCGGTGCTGCGCCTGCACAGCGACACCGGCGGCACGCGCGTCTTGGCCCCACGGGGCTTCAGAACTCTGTGCAGCCTCCATCGTATGAAGAGCTTCCACCAAGTTGAAGCTTTTGGCTGAAGGTCACGCTTGGACGTATCACCAGCAAATTCTCCCTCCTGAAACCAGAATTTTCTCTCTTTCTCTCCAAACCGCTGCTGCGTGGCGTGTTGGGGCTGTTGTCATGGGAAGTAACGTGGTGCGAGTGCAGCTCGGGCTGGCGTCTTCCCATCTGCTCTGTGAGGGCTGAACTGGGAAAAATGGGCATGTTCCATGAGTGCCTACTTAGGCACTAAATAGGAAATAACTCGAAATAGCGTTATATCTGAAAATCCTGCCGAGTTGTGGGTTATGAGTATCATGAGATGATCAGGATTTAGGAATAAATGGTCAAGTTCAGCACTGAAATACAGACATCAACAGGGTTTTGGTGTACATGCTGAGTTATACCTCTAGACACAGCAGAAACATGACAGTTTGGGGATTTCTGCTGTCTCCCCCGGGTAAGGGCTGGGTTTATAATGGTTATTATGCACTTGTGCTACGCTGGGGAAAAACTGCATTAAGGGAGTTGATTATCCAGACATCGTAAAACCCATGCTGGTTGTAAACTGCATTTTCAGGCACCTAGGTACCTCTAAAATTAATCCATTAGTTATTTCTGAAAAAATGAAATGGCTCCCCTAAACCCAGGTGCTGCTGAAGATGGAGTTTACATGCGTTGTGAGGAGGTTAATTTTTAGACTCTTAAAATAATTGGGGCTGGAAGGGACCTGGGGAAGCTGTCTGGCTGTCTCAGTTCAAAACGGAATCTATGGATTCCAAATAGAGCTTATGGGGAGCACGTGTCTTTTTAGTCATATGTCACACTGATGGTTCGGTGTGTCTCCATTTACACCTGCAAACGCACATTTGTAGGTGTTTGTTTGCACGTGCAAACACTAAGCTTTGCCTATGAAAGATACAAGAGCAAAACTCCTTCTTTGGAGAATCATTGAAAATTCATCTTTTTTGTTTGTTTGTTTGTTTTGTTGTTTTGTTTTGTTTTGTTTTTTTTTTTTTCTCTTCTTTTTATTTAAACAATAATCTCATTCAGCATAAAAAAGACAAACAATAGGACAACATCAATGGGTTTCTCATCAGTGCTTTGCATCACGTTAATACTATAGCCAACAGTAAATTATGTAGGCATTATACTGAAACAAAGGAAATTATAGCAGGGGTTTTATTTGAGAAGAGTTTGCTTGTCAAGTCAGGCAGTATGTGGTTTGCTTTATTTTCTGGCTAATGTGAGGCTAGCTGAACAGTTGCTCTAGTTTGCGTGGGGATTCTTCTATTTGCCAGTGCATTATTTGATACATAACAGAAAAACAGGAATATATCAAATAAAGGTAATGCATTAACATACCAAATCGTTACGGCTCAAATGACCAGCGTGTTGCCTATGCATCACGTCAAGTGGTCACTCAGGGAGCTGAAAGCCCAATTCTGTTTTCCAACCCTCCGAGCAGTAAAAGACACAGAAGTGCTGAGGATGTTGAATTTTGGAACAAACAGGAATGTGCTAGGAAGCTGCTAAAATAGCGACAGCCTGGGTCTGGCAGTCTATAACAAGGGAAATGCAACTCTACCTGCCAGATCGGATCTGCTCCTCCATACTCTCTCTGATTTCTGTATTGATGCTGTCAGAGGCAGGAGAGAAGGCTAAATGTTAAGGCTATTCTTAAATTTTTAGTAACGAGACTAGGTTCATTAGAGCTTTCATCAAATAGCTTTCAGTTACTATCAGTCTGACTTGTATTTGAATTGATGACCTTGAGATGAAAGGCTTTTTATTCTATTACCCATCTCCTGAGCCATCAAGTCTTTAATATGCCGTGCAAAATCAGTTTTCAGATGGTATTTCTTTTATATAATATTGTCATTTATTATTAAGTGTCTGATTTTGAGTGCTACTAGCTATAATTGTGCATAATACTACTTTTGTTATTCCTATTATTTCAAATTTATCTGGTATATTACTATATACTTGTAGACACAGAGAAAATAGATT